GTTGAGTATATAATTGAATCGTCTGGTTTATGTGCTGTTGAGTAGATCATTGAATCGTTTGGTCAATCTGCTGTTGAGTAGATCATTGAATCGTTTGGTCAATCTGCTGTGGAGTAGATCATTGAATCGTCTGGTTTATCTGCTGTCGAGTAGATCATTGAATCGTCTGGTTTATCTGCTGTGGAGTAGATCATTGAATCGTATGGTTTATCTGCTGTCGAGTAGATCATTGAATCGTCTGGTTTATCTGCTGTTGAGTAGATAGTTGAAACTTCTGGTTGATCTGCTGTAGAGTAGATTGTTGGATCAACTAGTCTATCTGCTGTAGTGTAGACAGTCGTGATGTCTTTGTTGTTCTGCTGCAGCTTGTTGATTTCATCATATTTGTGGTTGTTAAAGTCAATGTCCTGCAAAATAACTCGTGTTATCTTCCAAACACTTGTGTTTTAGGCAGCTCATAAATATATATCATCATCTTCACTCACCTCTGCAGTGTTTTCATTCAAAGGAAGAAGCACAACGGAGACTGTCAAAACATGAGGATAATTAACATTACATTCAGTATTAGAAAGTGACATTTAGTTTCTTGAGAAATGTGTGTGTGTGTGTGTGTGTGAGTTGAACCTGATAAAACGCACTATTTTGGGACATCTCAATGTCCTAATTTGTAAAAACGATACATAAAAATAACAACACACTCTTATGAAAGTTCATATCTATTTAATGTTTTGGTGAATAAGTGGATAATTTGTATAAATGTCATTCATACTTCTCCATTTCTCAATACAAACTTCTTATTCTCTGCTGATGGTTATATTTAGGTTTACGTTTTATTTTCTTCTAAAAGTCGCATGTTTAAAACAAGTCAAATTGTACGAATTCATTTGAAATCGCCACCTTGTGAAATATAGTTTTCTTATGAGATCGGGTTGAAAAATAAAGTTAATAAAACAGTTAAGTTATTAAAATATTTATTTTTAAACTGTAAAAATGCTGAATGTTTTCTGTTGGGATTTAGTGTATTATTTATAACTAGCAGTATAATAAGCAATAGAAGTGTATGGAAAATCCCTGTTTAGAGACCTACTTCACGTGAACGTGTGTATGTGTGTGAGTGTGTGTGATGTGTGTACCTGTTTTTCTATTCTGGTGGGGACTTAAACCTGAATACACACAGACTCAAGTCAATCCACTTTTACACTGAAAAGAGGTGCTCAGCGTTATTATCTGGCCTTTGTGTTGCAGGAGGAGTCCGGGGAGACAGGCAGCATAATTCAGCAAAATAAGATGTTTTCAGGGAGAGGGTATGAAGTAGGTGGTTT